CTTTTAACCCTTCTTCTTCTTCTTCTTCTTCTTCTTCTTCTTCTTCTTCTTCTTCTTCTTCTTCTTCTTCTTCTTCTTCTTCTTTCTCTCTCTCTCTCTCTCTCTCTCTCTCTCTCTCTCTCTCTCTCTTTCTTTTTTTGCTTTAAGCCTGTATTCTTCTAATGTGTTAAAAGCACAAAAGACAAAAGAAAGCTGTGTAACAATTCTAGACTGAGGGAGATTATAAAAACATGACAACTACATGCAATGTGTTTTTCTTCTGCTATTGTTGGGTAATTTGAATAAGACAATATTATTGTATCATGGTTGATTTCCTGGCTTTACTTGTACTCTAGTTATGTAAGAAACTGTCTTTGTTTATAAGAAACACACTCCAAAATATCCAGAGACAAAGGTGTATCAATCATGTCTGCAACTTACTTGTAAAAACAGAGAGAATAATAAAGCCAAGGTGATAAATGTCAGCATTTTATTCTTGCAAAAAACACCATTGAACCACAGTGAAATATTCTAAAAAATGGGCATAATTATACTGAACAGAAAACAACAACAACTTATATTCAGGATTAAATGAGATCATTTATATGAAGCTGCAAATAATGCTAAAAAATGTTAGGAACTAGATGTTTCTACAACAACAAAATATATCTTTTCAAAAAATACCTAGATTTCTGCCAAAGGGTCTACAATAGGGCTTATTGGAAAAATAGGGTTAGCAGCAGGCCACTCAAAGGCATTCTTAGTTTCAACCAGTGCACTAATAAAAATCATTAAAACCCTAATAAAATCTCAACACCTTACATCGCCATTGGCAACCCACACTTTGCCGCCTTTTACTCTCAGCTCAGAAGTTTTTCTCAGGGAGATCTTTAAGGAGGGTCTTTATATTTAAAAAGACCAGTTTCATTAAAAAAAATGATCTGGGGTATAGAATTCTTAATCAACCACTTTTTAGTTTTTAAACCACAACAGTAAATATTTTTGGATATTTTCCATCGACATTTTCAGTTTCACCAGATAGCTAAATGTATTGAAGCATAGCCACTAAACCAGCCATCGAAGAAGAATATCTCAGAATTTAAGCCTCCCCCACCCCCGCTTAGTTCTTCATCGATCGATAATGATGCTTTTTGAGAGAAAGTTTGCTCCTGCTGACTTCAAAACATTCATATACTAGGGGAAATCACAGACTGAATAAACCCGACGTCCTCTTTAAAATAACACAAATCCCCTAACAGATATGAGTACATTTCTTTTACAGAAGCATGCATTGTAGGAACAGACTGTATTATTTCCTAAGAAGGAAAAATAAGCGGGAATGAATTTTATAAAGAGCATGTTGTTAAGCATGGGCAATCTGAACCAGGAATAGTATCATTGAGAATAGAATAGGCTCTACTGAGTGTCTTAGAAAAGTGAATAAAATAACAAAGGGCCATCTTCCTGGAATGGATGGGTCCTTCGTAGAACAGATGAACTAGATACATTCTTGAGTTTGTTTTCAGTCCTCTAAATGGATTCACTGTAATCTCAAGTCAAATCTAGACCTAGTAATACAGTCATCGTTATTACTCCTGGGGGTCAAGTACTCTTTGAAATTATTTTTTATAAAGAAAGAGTGGCTTTTATATTTATTTAAGAAAAGTTCAAGTATTCAAACACTGCAATATTAAAATAAAGGGTAAAAAGATAATCCCAGCTCACTTATCTCTGAAGTGGTTAGAAGTGATACATGAATAAAGAATTAAACTAAAAACATTTTTAAAAATCAACACAAGGCAATGCTTGAAAGAGAATTTTGACCACATGTTCATTTTTAAAATTTATATACCATGGCATGAGAATGAGAAATGCATGCTAAATAAGTTGGGCACTACTAACTGAAAAAAGAAGCCTAATATGTTGAGAATTATAGTTTTTCACCTGAGAATTTTGGTCATACCTTTTTTGTTGTGACAAATTGTGTGCATTTTAATCATTTTTAAGTGTACAGTTTAGTGATATTAAGCACTAAACAGTAACTTTCCATTCTTTCCCTCCCCAACCCCTAAAAACTACTATTCTACTTTTTGTCTCTATGAATTTGACTACTGTTGGTACTTAATATAAATGGAATTATACAATATTTTTCTTCTGTGACTGGCTTATTTCACTTAGCATAATGTCCTAAAAATTTATTTATGTTGCTGTATATGTCATAACTTCTTCCCTTTTTAAAATTAAATAATATTTCACTGCATGTACATATTAGTGATATTAAGCATTTTTCATGTGTTTTTGGCTACTTGTATAGTTTTGAAAATACCTATTCAAGTTCTTTGCCTGTGTTTTTTTCTTAGGTTATTGCTGGTCAGTTACAGGAATTTTTTTTTTATCTCTTCTGGACATTAATCCCTTGTCAGATACACGATGTGCAAATATTTTCTCCCATTTTGTGGTTGCCTTATCACTATCTGTTGACAGTGGCCTTTTTTGTACAAAAGATTTTAATTTTGATGGTCACATATATGGTCAAATGATTTTTTACCGCCAATAACATTTGATCATTTGACCATCTATTCGATTCCATTGGTCTATGTGTCTTACTTTTGATTCCTATAGTTTTGTAGTAAGTTTTGAAATCAGAAAGTGTGAGCCCTACAGCTTTGCTTTTCTTCAAGATTGTTCTGATTATTTAGAGCCCCTTGAAATTCCATATGAAGTTTTAGATGTTTTTTTTCTTTTTCTGCAAAAAAAAAGCCATTAGAATTTTGTTTCATAAACATGAATCAAAATATAAATGTCCTTCCATTTACTTGTGTTTTATTTAATTTCTTTCAACAATTTTTTCTAGTTTTCAGTGTATAAGCCTTTTACTTTCTTGGTTAATTTTATTCCTAAATATTGTACTCTTTTTTATGATGTTGTTTTGATTAAATTGTTTTCTTAATTTCTTTTACAGATTGTTCATTTTTAATGTATAGAAACCAACTAATTTTTGTGTACTGATTTTGTATTCTGCACCTTTGCTGAATATATTGATTAGATCTAATTTTTTTGATACAATTGTTTAAGTTTTCTAAATATAAGATTATATTGTCTATGACTTTCTTTGAAAACACAATTGATTTTCCTGTGCTAATGTTGTATTCTGCAGATTTTCTGAATTTGTTTATCAATTGTAATGATTTTTTTTGTGGCATTGTCAGGGTTTCCTATATATAAAATTATGTCATCTATGAACAGATAATTTTACTCTTTCCTTTCCCTTTTATTTCTTTTTCTTGTCTAGTTGCTCTGGCTAGAACTTAAAGTGCTATGTTGAATTCAAATGAGCATCATTGTCCTGTTCCTGATCTTAGAGGAAAAGTTTTGTCTTCCATCACTGAGTGTGATATTAGTTATGGATTTTTCACATATGGATTTCATTATGTTGATGTAGTTCTTGTCTATTCCTAGTTTTTTGAGTGTTTTTATCTTAAGTGTTGGATTTTGTCAAATCTTTCTGATGTCAGTTGAGATAATCGTGTGGTTTTGATCTCTTCATTCTGTTAATGTGGGATGCATTGATTGTTTCAAGACTCTTTAGAGCAGTGGTTCTCAACCTTCTGGCCCTTTAAATACAGTTCCTCATGTTGTGACCCAACCGTAAAATTATTTTCGTTGTTACTTCACAACTGTAATGTTGCTACTGCTATGAATCGTAATGTAAATATCTGATATTCAGGATAGTCTTAGGCGACCCCTGTGAAAGGGTTGTTCGACCGCCGAAGGGATCGCGACCCACAGGTTGAGAACCGCTGCTTTAGAGCAACCCAAGTCTCATTGAATTTTTAGAGTTTAAATATTTAGAAATCAAGATATTTTATGCATATGACACTATAGCTCAGGGCCCGAAGGTTTATCATTGAGGAAATACATTAGGTTTAGCTTGCATTTGGGGGCTTGCTTTCTTCCCTATGTGAGCACATTCTGACTAACAATGATCATTCTTGGATATTCCCATTAAAAGATGGCCTTGGAACCTCAAATATTTATGTACCAAAGATTCCAAAGCTTAAAAAAGTGTTTGTTATATAATCAGTTGCAGACATCTTGACAGGATACACATCATTTTCCTAGTAACAGGTAGAAAAACTAGCCTTTAAATGAAAAAGTGCTGTGAGGTAGGTAAGACTATATTCTTAAATCAAAGCTATGAATATCAAACTCAGAAGTTGACTGTGCTAGTTGTGTAAATACAAATCCGGATGGTGAAGACTCCTGATAAATCTACCAAATGCACCTGAGAAAGGGAACCTAAGTTTCCTAGATTTTTAAGTCCAGCTCTCTCCTCCTCCCACTCCTTGCCTAGAGTGCAGTGCATTTTCCTGGTTTCCTGAAACTCAAGGCAGAGCAATGCCTCCGTGCCGCTGTCTTTTCCCTTCCTGCTCATTGCTTCCCTACTGCCTATCTTTTGCCCTTACCTCTGCTGCTCACCAGCAATTTAAAAATGACAGCTTTTCCATTCTCCCTTTCCCAATTGATCTTGCTTTTTTCCAAGATCAATTTCTATCTCATCCTCTTTTTCAGAACCCCTTGCTCCACTGTGTCCCTCTCCCACTCAGACTAGAATCCTACAGCTTCCTGGATCCAGTTCTGGCTACAGAGGCCGCTCTATCCCTCCTTCCAGCTCTCAAAATGCCCTAATCCAGTTCCAAACTCCTCCCCACATGGGTCCAAGGTCCTCTCCTCCTGTTCTCTTCCCAGAATGTTCTCTCCCAGCCTTTCCTGAGGCCTGCTGCTGCTGCTGCTGCAACCAGACTGTTCTGTTTCTCAGGATACCATCAATTTTTCCCAAAACTTTCTCCGTCATTAGATCCTTCCACTAGATTCCTCACACCGACCTGCAAGATCTCTTGGCACAGGTGAGCCTTCCGGCGTCATTGTGATTTGGCTAAATGGATTTGTTGATGTCATAGCAGGTTGTTTTTCCTACAAAAAAAAAAAAAAAAGACCTCTGCTTAGAATGCCCCTTAGTCATATTAAGGAGCTTTTAAAAAATGCATCTACCTCTAGAGATTGAATTTAATTGGTTGGATATGGCCACTGCAATAGTTTAATAGCTTTTGGGGTGGGGTTGCGGTGGGGGGAGGGGAAGGGAGGAAGTCTAATGTGTGTGTCCAAGTTTGAGAATCAGTACGAACTCCCCCAACCTATGTATGCTTTTCTTACTTGGGTCATTCTAGAGTTCCCCTTGAATCTTTGATGATGTAGCAGCCCACCCTTCGGGAACCCTTTACTCTCTGTCCTCAGCCCTAATCCACTCCCAAAACAACAGGAACAGAATGTGCCTTCAGAGTTTTCCAAGAAAGTTGCTGGGAAAGTTGGCAATGCTTCTGGGCCTGGTAAGCTGCCAAAGAGAGTTTAATGAAAGAAGCTAGAAGAGCCCAGGCTGAAAAAGAACTCAGGGTGATCACAGTTGTTTACATTTGTTGATGAATGGTAAACTGCCTGGAAACTCTGGCAACATAATACTGGTGCGCAATTAACCCTGTACTCACACTAGTGCTTCTGCCCCATGTTCCCTACAGTTGGCCTTGAAAGTCTTCCAGTCTAAAGTATTCATTTTATAGATGAGGAAAATGAGGAAAAGGAAGATGTAATTTAACAGAAGTCCCACAGCTAAACAGGGGAGGAGTGAAGCAGGAAACCTAGTCATCTTTATGAGGATCCAGAATTCTTCCAGATACACCCACTTCTCATCTATTTAGCAGTCTGCTTTGGAAATGCTACTGATAGTTCTCAATGTGCAAACTGGCAGTTTAATGAATGCCCAAGTAAAATTAAATTTTGTAAAAAAAGCAAGTGCTAGAGGTAATTGATGATTCATTATTCAGCTCAAAAAACAAGGGAAATAAATGGGGGAAATGACTTTATCTCTCTAAGCTTCTTTATAACTCTCACAGAAATATGAGTTTCGAAAGACAATGTAGATCTAATGCTGAGTTCTGGGTCTGGCACATGGTAAGTGTGTGATACATGGTCACAGTGATTTTTAATGGAAGAGGCTTGGCAAAATCATCTGCACAGAGGAAATGAAATTTTTCAAACTGTGGCTGTTGCATTGATTATAGATTCAGGTTTGTTTCTGTTGCCTTTTTATTTTTAGTTTAAATGTGTATTCAGGTTCTTTTTTTCCATAGAAGAAGCTGATCTCTCACTTTTAACTCCAAAGTTCATTTTTTAGTAATCAGGGCCAATCCAGGTAGTGTAGTGGAGTGGCACTGATTACTAAAAAAGGAACCACATTTTATCTGTGAACTTGGAAAAGGGAAGCAATAAGGTAAGACAGGTAAAAACAGTTTGCTTGCATGTTCATTTAAATTGTCTAGAAAATCAAGTGAGTACCGGGCATTTACATTGTCCAACGAGTATACTGCCTATTTGTCCCATAAATAACTTGAGAAAGGTGAACAGTTCAGTTATGTATGCTTTTAAGGGAAAGTGTTCTATTCCTTCTATAGTTACTATAAAATGCAATGGTTAACAAATATATTCTCGTGTGTATGAAACTTTTTCTTTTGTTAGGACCCTCTTTGATGAAGTAATAGAAACAAATGGTAGCTAGTTTAAACAGGAAAGAATTCAGTCCAAGAACAAGATCTCATGAAGGTGCAAGAAGTCATGCATGCAAGGTCATGAGACCTCCCTCAGTCTGTTATTTCTTTTCTTTTCTACTCCATTTATTTTTAAGATCTGCTTCCAAAGTTCCTCATGTCCTCCTAGTGTAGTGGTCGGCAAATTGCGGTTCGTGAGCCACATGCGGCTCTTTGGCCCCTTGACGTGGCTCTTCCTAAGCCTTAGGAGTACCCTAATTACGTTAATAACAATGTACCTACCTATATAGTTTAAGTTTAAAAAATTTGGCTCTCAAAAGAAATTTCTATCGTCGTACTGTTGATATTTGGCTCTGTTGACTAATGAGTTTGCCGACCACTGTCCTAGTGGGTTAAAAGTCCCCAAATCATATCTTCAGACTTAGATTTTGTAGATATAGCTGCCAAAAGAGGATGATTTTTCACAGTTCCAATTCCATATTCCCAAAGAAGGTTCATTTTGGATCAGTGGCCTATTCTTATATCAACCACCAGTGGCTACATGGGCAAGTTCTGGAGCAGGATAGCACCAACAGGCCATGCTTACAAATGGGCTAGGAAGTCCAAGGACAGGCTGGCAGACAACCAAGTAGATATCTACTAAATGGCTGTAACTCGCTAAGCACTTATTTTTAATAATTATTTAATTTGATCCTCAAACAATGACAACTCTGTACTCAACGCTATAGCATTTTCTACTTTGTAATTTTATCTCTGTTTACCTAGTTTCCTCATTAGTCAGTGAAATTTTGTATTTTTAGTGCCTGACATTGGGGGAGGAGGGTGTGCAGTAGGGTCAATAAATGTAGGTTGAAAGAATGCATGGGTAGGATACTTTGATAAGAAGCCTGGGACAAACTTCGATTAAGTGACAGGAGGAAGATCATCAGCTAATAACGAGCATGAGATCAACTTCTATAGCCTCAATCCCTTTCCCCAAAACTAGGGTGCTTTCTACATCAAACTGTCCTCTTCTCCTGTCTATCATGTCAATGACTGACAGGAAAAGATTTGGTCTGGTGTTTAGAATTGTAAAAATAATAGAACTGGAATAAAGGTACAATGCATTTTATAAGAATTTGATTTTGCCCTCTTAGTACATTGTTTAAGAATAGTTTCCAAATAACTACAGAGTCTGTATTTTTCATTTAAACATTCAAAGGGGAAAGACTCTTAGTCTACGCTTAACATGGCAAAAATAAGGTTTATATGTTTCTATTTTAGGGTATTTATTTTTGAAAATGACATTGGACAAGGCAATCACCCCTGAAGAGGTAACTACTTCTCTCATCATCTTGGTGATAGTTTTTGTTTTTGTGAGAGCCCTCATGAGTAAGCGGAGAAGGCAGGTATCTCCTCCTGGCCCGTGGTCCTTCCCCCTCATAGGAAATCTTCTTCAGCTTGGAGACCATCCTTTCCTGACATTCACAGAGATGAGGAAGAAATATGGAGACGTCTTTCTCGTCAAACTTGGCGTGGTGCCCGTCGTGGTGGTGAATGGAATGGAAATGGTGAAGCACGTGCTCCTGAAGGACGGAGAGCATTTTGCAGGCAGACCTAACATGCACACGTTTTCTTTTCTGGCAGAGGGGAAGAGTTTTTCATTTTCAGTCAATTATGGAGAGAGTTGGAAGCTTCATAAGAAAATAGCGTCCAGTGCTTTACGAACTTTTTCTAAAGCAGAAGCAAAATCCTCCACCTGCTCTTGCTTGCTTGAGGAACAGGTCATCGAGGAAGTCTCTGAGCTGGTGAAAGTCTTTGCAGAATTAACTTCGAAAAAGGGTAGCTTTGATCCCAGAAATGCCATCACCTGTGCAGTGGCCAATGTTGTCTGTGCCCTTTGCTTTGGCAAGAGGTATGACCATAGTGATGAGGAGTTTATTAGGATAGTTAAAACTAATGATGACTTACTCAAGGCCTCCAGTGTAGCTAATCCCGCCGATTTCATACCATGTTTTCGCTACCTTCCACTGCGGATTATAAATGCTCCTCGAGTGTTTTATCGGGCCCTGAATGAGTTTATTACACGACACGTACAAGATCATCTTACTACGTATGATAAGGTAAGAATTTAAATCCATGCCAGAACGAGGGATTTGTTGAGAAGCAAAAGATAATGATGAGATGTGTTGAGTACCCAGAAAGTTATATGTATCCTCCCCTGGCTCTTTCACTGTAATTTTGCCAGAATGACCCTTACCAAAACTACTAGGAAATGTGAGTTCCAGTCAGTGAGATTATAGGGCAGCATTATTTAGTTCTCATGTAGAGACCTTAAGAAGAGTTTTTAATTCTTTGAGACCTTAGAAATTTCCCAAGTGTGTGGATAAGGTACATACTTGAATTATGAATCTATAGTTGGCTGATGAATGATGAGCAGGGAGGTGAGTTCCTTGAAGAAATGAACTAATGATTTTGTCTCTTTCATTTTACATCTGAAATTATGAGGTCTTAAAAGTATCAGCATATTTTTTTTTCAGAGAGTGTTTTGAATAATTACAAAGAATATTGTATTGGAAGATTCCAAGTTACCCTTTTTTCCTATTTGAGTCCTTTTATTATATGGAAATGAACTTTGAGATCAAATACATGTAGATAGAAAATTTCTTGAGGTGACAGAAGTGGACCTTTGTGAGGCCACTCAATTTTTTTGGCTAAATTTGATGGTCCAGAGAAGAGTAAATTTCTCTCATGAAACAGGTGTGTACTAGAAAGTATCCTAGCTCTTGGAGGCCAATTTGCTGAGATGATGGCATCATGAAAAAAAATTAAAAAGAAAAGGTGGATAGTTGAACAAATGAAGAGATGTAAGGAATTAAGACACTTCCAATGAAAAAGAAAAGGCAGTAAACAATCTGTTTCAAGGTACCCATCAGAATCTTAGAAAAAATACAGTAAGTAAAAGAATTTATAGTCATACATTTTCTTCCTATTCCCTAACCTACGTTAGCCTCATCTCTTCTTGCATGGCGATTACAGTAAAATTCTTAGAATGGGCTTGGAAACCTCGTATTGTATTCATTGCCTAGCAATTTCCCTAGAGTAAGTTAATCTTTAATTTTTGTAACTGTGCTTCCAGCATAAGGACTTTTTTATTTATTGAAAGAAGTTTTAAGAAGAAAATTGAGTCTAATAACTTTTTTAAAAATTCTACATACTTTTAAAATTGAGCATTACCACTGACAAGCAACATTGCAAGTTTTGAAATGGTGTACTATAGTCTTTATATTCCTAGGTGAATTGAGTTCATTTTACATAACATGGTACATGAGATTCATCTGTGATATGAAATGTAGGTAGGGATCAATAATCATACTAAGAATTTTCTCCTCAGGACCATATGCGAGACATTACTGATGCTCTGATTAATACATGCCATAAAAAATATGCCACTACCAAAACAGCCACCTTAAATGACGATGAAATCATAAGCACCGTGAATGACATCTTTGGAGCTGGTATGTGAAAGTATTTGTCAGTATGTAAGGCGAATAAGGTCTAATTGCAATTTTTGTGTGTGTTCTACTGCTTACAGTTTAGAGTATTTCCTCCTTTTGATGTAGGCCATTTTGTATAGTTATTTCACTCTATATACCTAGAAATGGGGTCCCTGGATCATATGATAATTTCTTTTAATTTTTTGAGTAACCTCCATACTACTGTCCATAGTGCATGAGAATTCCAATTTTCTACATTCTCACTTATTGTTTTCTGTTCTGATAGTGAGTATACTAGTCGATGAGAGGTTAAGCCTATATTCTGAAAAAAACTTTTAATGTATAATAGTTACTTTATTGTGAGTTTGTTGATTTTCAGTTATATTTAGATTCTTTTCTCTAGATTCATAATATTCAAATATGAAGCAAATTGAAGATACAAATTTTGCTAATGATTTTCTTCATGGCATTTTGTCTCGTTCCTTTTTCAGGGTTTGAAACTGTATCAACATGCCTGTACTGGAGCTTTCTCTATTTGATACACTACCCAGAAATTCAAGCCAGAATTCAAGAAGAAATTGGTAACATATTTTCAGATGAAAAGTATAATTCTTACAATTGTCATTTTTATTATTAAGTTTTTATAAAAACCACCTCTTCTTTCAGATGGAAACATTGGTCTAAAGCCACCCAGATTTGAGGACAGGAAAATGTTACCCTACACTGAAGCTTTCATAAATGAAGTGTTCAGACATGCCTCCTTTATTCCTTTTACTATTCCACATTGGTAAGCAAACGATTCTCCTTTGAAGCAGCAACCAATGGCAGGTTGAGGGGGAATGAGGAATCTAAGGCCTTAGAATACTTTAGGTCCTTTAAAATACATATTATGTTAGTATTATTTTGCTATTATTTTAAATCTTAATTCTTTTTATTTTTAAATTCTCTAATGAAAGTCTTACATAGAAAAACAGCATATGTTGCGAATGTTTTCATAAACAAACTATAATGTCGCTATTTTTCATCTTATATGTACTATTTAAGGGGAAAGAAAGCTATCGAAGTTCCAAACAATGGATAATACAAACATAATATATGTTTGGACATGAAGTGTCATACACACTCACTTGACTTCTTCTCTGAGCCATCTTAGCTACCTGCTGATGTGACTTCATTTTTAGTAGCTTAGAATTTTTCTGGCCAATTGACTCAGGAGGCCAGTTTTGCCACAGATAAATTAAACAGAGTTTCCGTTTACAGATATTTGGAAGTTTATTGAATCTCATACCACACTCTTTAGTGCACAAATGCATGCAAGTATAGATTAAGTAGATAAGCTTTACTAAATAGGAATATGGACAAGCAAAGTTCTGGTAGTTTGAACTATTACCATTCTACACAATTAAAAAGAAAAATGCAATTCTTAATGCTTTTTCTTTACCCATCCTTAAATAGTGAGGGAGTGGGGATGTCTCTCACCTCAGGAAGCTGATGTAGTTATGGTTCTTGGCACAGCAGTAGGTAGTGCCTTCAGCCTAGAGCTGGACCAAATAGGCTTGCTCATACTTCTCACCTGAATTAGACATACTTTGCCACTCAGTCTCTGGCAAGGGTGGACAGCTGCAGGGGAGACTGCATGTCTGCTTCTCCAAGCTCAGGCCATCACTGATTATAGATGAAATGTACATTTCTACAGGTTCGTTCATCATAAGAGAGAGCCCAGAAGTAGCTAAGCCAAATGTGTTTAGTATCTCCTCTCAAACTCGTCAAATTGAAATGTCACTGCTGCTCCTCTGGGGCAGAAGTGAGTGTTGGGGCCATCTAGGCAGTTAGTGAGTGCTATATGGAACCATACCATGATTTAATGCCATTTGGAGATATACCATGATCCATGCGTAATTACAGAAGTATAAAGAACAAAAGTATACAGTTTGCATAACTGAGTATGGGACTAGAAAATAGATTATTCGTCTAGAGACAACTTAGAGATCATCCAACACAAATAATACCATTTCACAGCTAGGAAATGAAATCATAGAGTCGATATGAGATTTGCCCAGTAGTTCCCTGTAAGCAGTGTTTAGAGTTCAGATTTCCTAGTTCCAATTCCATTGATCCTTGGATTTTTTCTTTATTTATTAATAAAAGTCAGATCACATTGGACATGCAGAAAGTGCTTTGTAATTTCCTTTTAGTTCCCTGCTATAATTTTTAATTGATTTTTTTTTTTTTTTTAGAGAGAGAGGAAGGTAGAAGTAGAGAGAGAAACATCCATGCAAGAGTGTATCATTCATCAGCTGCCTCCTACAGGTCCCCTACTGGGGGATTAAGCCCACAATACAGGCATGTGCCCTGACTGAGAATCGAACCAGCAACCTTTTGGTGCACAGGACAATGCCCAACCAACTAAGCCACACTAACCAGGGATCCTGATATAATTTGATGTGTCTACATATGAGCAACTTTGTCATAGAAATACTGAGATAATTTTCCACTGAGATTTTAGCTCATAGCAATGTGTTAAATATGTTAAATGCTCAATATGTTTCACAAATACAAGAAAAAGAATAAATTACTAACTTGACAATAGGTGGAATATGGAAGATGAAAGAATGAAGATTTATAAAGATTTCATATCATTATAGTTTTTAAAAAGACAATAAATATAGTCTGTTAATTGTGGGTAGCAGTTTAGGGGTGGGTCATTTGAACTACAGGATGTGCTGTAATGATAAGGATGTATTTTGCTTTCCCAGTACCACAGCAGACACTACTCTGAATGGCTATTTCATTCCCAAGAATACGTGCACCTTTATTAACATGTATCAAGTAAATCATGATGAGTAAGTCACCAAAATTATTTGGGGGGGGGCGGTTAAATTTGTTTGGCTGTTTGTTTGCTATTTATTAATCAGAAAAAGATACACATTCTTAGCTAAAGTTCATTACTTCTATTTCTCTTGAAATAAATTACAAGGAAATTCAGTTTCCTATTCTCACTGATAATAGGAAAGGTGATATGTGTTTTTTAAAATACGTTTTTATTGATTTAAGAGAGGAAGGAAGAAGGAGAGAGAGATATACATCAACGATGAGAGAGAATCATTGATCGGCTGCCTTCTGCATGCCACCCAGTGGGGATCGAGCCTGCAACCCAGGCATGTGCACTGACTAGAAATTGGACCATGTCCTCCTGGTTCATAGGTTGACACTCAACCACTGAGCCACGCCAGCCAGGCAGGAAGGATGATATCTTAATACAAATTCATTCAGGGCAAATTCAATTTCAAAAGTGGGCTTTTTGAGGAGGTGTGGGCCAAGGACTTCAAGGGCTCATCCTCTGCAAGGTTATGGCTAGCTGATGTTTGAAATGCAGCGTGAAATCCCCCAACAGAATTAGAAAGACCAAGCAGGGATTTTTCCTTCTTTTGTTTGGTTTTCCTCTACCTCAGCACCTAGATCAATGCCTGGCACATAGTAGCCACTCAATAAATATTTGCAAGTAAAATATAGCTAGAGTCTCATCCATATTAGCTTTAAAAGGGAGAACAGGGATGAAGATACCTCACCTGTTTTAAAAGAAGATGATGGTAGTGGTGTTAGCAGTGATGGGAATGATGATGATGGCAGGTAATATCTATAGACCCTACTGTGTGTTGGGCACGAAATCTTTAAGTACCTCCTCCGAACCTCAACAATAACCCTCTGCATGGTGCTACCATGATCCCAATTTGACAACTGAAGAAACTCAATCCAGTGAAATGAATTGCCTAATGTCACATGTGCAGCAAGTAGCAGAAGCAAGGCCCACATTCAGTGTGTATATCCTGATTAACGGAAATTGGATGCTCCATGTGGTTGGGGCTTACTGTCTCCAGTAAACTGGTAGAGATTGCATTCTTATGCACTCAGTGGGCAACATACAGAGCACTCGGTACAACTTCTTTGTCTTCACCCAAGATTTCCTCTGACTGATGTCTCATGCTCCAGGCTATTTGGGAGAGAGGTGATTATCATGTAGAACTAATAGCACATTCACTGCATAGGCTGTCCCACTGAAAAATTTATTGTTAGAAAGGTTGACACTTCCACTGTTCACATCCAGTGATCATGCTAAATAAAAATTAAGCATTTAAAAACCCACTACAAGAAAAATATAGTCAATGTAAATTTAATGGTATTTGTTCTCAGCACTATCCCAAGTGCCGGAAGTGTTCTAGTAGCCTAGGAACCTGTGATTATATTGAATATTGAGTAATGTTCAAACAAGCTGTGTTAACACAGGTGCTTATAAAGAAATACTGTTTGTATTGAGGCACTTATTGAACTAAATGAGTATGTGGTTCAAGACTGATATCATGGGGAAATTATTCCTATTTAGCTTAAACAAAGCTCACAAACTTAGGCACCTACTGAGCAGTGGAAAACACCAACAATGAGAGAATCGCCCTTGTTGGAGCCGTGAGGAGCAGTCACCTGCTATCCCTCATTCCGCTCAGTTAACTGAAGACAAGCAGGACCTGGTCCCAGCATTGTCAGCTCGTTCGATAAGACAGAACTTGGAAATGGACATTTTTACGTGGAGTCTTCTGATGTTTAAATGTCTGCAGCAATGAATTATTTTTGAAAGATTATGAGAGCAAACGAAATGTATTGGAGGACTGAGTATGACTTGTAGGTCTTCAGGGCTATGACCTTTGGCGCAGAAAGAAAACAAATGTTCTGCTAGGAAGAGAATGACATCAATACACAAAAAGGCCCGGTTCTTGGTAAAGTCAAGTGGGTCCCTGATGTATGGCTGAGGGTGTGTTAGGAAGCGTACTAGCAGGAGTTGTCATAGACACGGCAGATATGATGCCTGAGACAAGAGTGGGGGAGAAGAGAGCGCCAGATGCACAGCAGTTGGGGACTGTGGGCAACCCGCAGTCAGAGCTGCTGGCAGGAGACCTGGCTGCTCTGTGATGATGGGCGAAGGCCTTTTCCTAAACCTATTGGTACCAGAGTGAGAGGTACCACCTAAAACAAAGGAGACTGAATATTTATTCCTTGTTATTTATACCCATTTTTTTTTAGAAAAATATATTTTATTGATTTTCTTACAGAGAGGAAGAGAGAGGGATAGAGAGTTAGAAACATCAATGAGAGAGAAACATCGATCAGCTGCCTCCTGCACACCCCCCACCAGGGATATGCCCGCAACTAAGGTACATGCCCTTGACTGGAATCGAACCTGGGACCCTTCAGTCCCTAGGCCGACACTCTATCCACTGAGCCAAACCGGTCAGGGCCCAAACTTTGGAATATTTGTATGAGAATTTTTTAGAATTCTTCATTAAAAAATTGAAATAAATTTCCAAGTATTTTATTCACTATGTAATGAAGCAGAAGTCATTTTAATATAAACTAGGAAAAATTATATTAATTCTTTAAGGTAACTAAACTTGTCAATAAATTTAAAGAGTATATATACATAAATTCATAATAATGATATACCTCTATAATTATATATATGTACCTATATGTACATATGTATGAATATTTACACTATTCCAAACATAAATGAAACATTTTAGGCAAAACAAAGTTATTGTGGGGAAGTTGGCAAAATGATAAAATGATTCCTTTATAAAATGTACCTTTTGTCTATTTTATACAGAACTATCTGGGATAATCCCAATGTATTTAGTCCTGAGAGATTTCTAAACGAAAACAGGGAACTGAATAAGAGTCTTGTGGACAAGGTCCTGATATTTGGAATGGGAATCCGGAAGTGTCTGGGGGAAGACGTTGCTCGGAATGAGGTATTCCTTTTCATCACCATGGTTCTGCAACAGCTCAAGCTGAACAAATGCCCCAGGGCCGAGCTGGACTTGACGCCCACGTATGGCTTGGCCATGAAGCCCAAACCGTACCAGCTCCAAGCAGAGCCCCGCTTCGCTGATAGTGCCTCTTAGATTCTCAGACTGGTGGCAGCTTTCCGATGTAAGTCAGAAATATTATGTGATTCATATTCATTTAATAGGCAATTTAAAGGTTGCACCCTATGCTATGCTATTAGTTCAGTTCTCTTTTCTGTCATCATAATATAGGAAGTCTTTTTTAAAGTGTGGTGTAGCCTCAGTTCTAATATGAGAGATCAAGTCTCCTAAGGTTATTTTAAGATAATAATAAAGTGTGATGTCACTCAGGAATTTTAAACCTATGTCTCATGTGATGGTGACCCAGGGGCCTCTGTGAACAAGAAAGGAAAGAAAAAATGAGTGGTGGATTGGACAAGGAGGTTAGGAAGACCTGTCTTCCTTCCTTTATACCAGCTTCAAATAGATGGGTATGTTTTCATTAGTTTTAAATATAAGGTTCACAATAAGAACAAGGTTCTGATGTTACATATGTATTTTCCCAGTGATCTAGGGGAAAGGTGCTGAAGGGGTCCAAAAAAGGGAGCTAGAGTGGCCTAGAAGAGCAGAGAACATTTTGTGGTGGGGATAGATGAGCTGAGCTAATTTTATTTTTTTTAAATATATTTTTATTGATTTCAGAAAGTAAGGGAGAGAGAGAGAAAGAGAGAGAGAGAGAAATATCAATGATGAGAGAGAATCATTGATTGGCTGCCTCCTGCATGCCCCACACTTGGTATGGAGCCCACAACCCAGGCATTTGCCCTGACTGGGAACCATGACCTCCTGGTTCATAGGTTGACACTCAACCACTGAGCCACGCTGGCTAGGCAAGCTGAGCTAGCTTTAGAGAGGTGGAGAAAAGGTCATAAGAAGTCATTTATTCAAAATCCATTTTTATATCAGCTCTTATGTTTTCTGTATTAAGAATTTAACATCAGAGCAAACTGATGTTTTTATAATGCTATCCATTTTTTTGGTTTTTTTGCTACCTACTAAATATATGTGTGTATTAGTGTGCTAGAGCTGCTATAACAAAATACCACAGTGTGAGTGGCTTCAACACAGAAACTTATTTTCTCACAGTCCTAGAGGTGTCGGCAGGGTTGCTTTCTCTCAAGGCCTCTCTTCTTTTGTAGATGGCCACCTTCTCATCATGTCCTCACATGGCCTTTCTCTGTGTGCAAACACCCCTGGTGTCTGTCCTTTATCTTATAAGGACACCAGTCATACTATATTAGAGCCTCCTCCTACGGCCTCATTTGAACTTATCTCTTTAAAGACCTTACATTCAAATACAATTGCATTCTGAGGTACTGAGGGCTGGTATTTCAACATATGAATTCTGGGCGGGGAGAGGGGCACAGTGCAGCCCACAATAACATGAAAGATAGCAATTATTTACAAATACCTTTCAGTGTAGTACCCAGCTTATGTGCGTGCTTCTTTCATTGAAAATGTTAACGAGCTAAGGCATACAGGGAGCAGAAACAGTGAAAACCAGAGTAAAGCTGTAAGGGGATGTGCATGCTAAAGGGCTTAGAAACCCAGCTGGTGGAGGAAAGCATGTCTGGGGTCTGATTTAAATGGGAGGCCGCTAGGGCGGGATCACCTCTAGATAATGACCCTGCTGACCCGATTGCTGCAATAGAAGCAAAGTCAAACAATTCAGAGACATTGAGGATTACAGTCGGGACTTAGTCTTTCTTTTCAAATATAAATAAATTCAGCATTGTCCTTGGGAATAAACAAATTGGGTTGTTTGTCTCTTTTTTGTGTGAAAGCTTTTGAAATTATTTATATTGTCCTCATGACAGTGTGTCAAATAGAAACTATTTTGCCTTTTATTCTGAAAGAAACTGTCAAATCTTCTGTTTACTCAACAATAATGGGATGACTAGAACACTACAAGAATCTTCGGTTTATGTGGTTATTTTCTTTAAAGAATTGTATTTTTCTAACTTCTTTTTTAACAGCAAGCATATATGATCGAGTACTTTTATTTTACACACTGTATTGTAAAAATGCTAATTTTCACTTTTACTATACTGCTGAGGCATAATTAAATGGTGTACTATTGGGCTTTTTGTACAATTCATAAGTTTGCTTTATATGTCTTTTTAGAAACATGGACAAGAATAAAAGAGGAAAAGTGTAAAAGCAAAGTAGGAATGACTTTTTTTGTCATTTATTATATAAAGACAAATTATTTTTAATTATATGTGTTCGCTTATCTGAAGTGATAATTTATGAAATATAATCAGGAGTAATGCAGTGTACCAAAATATTATATCAAAATAATTTCTATTGCCCTGGCCAGTTTGGCTCAGTGGATAGAGCATCGACCTGCGGACTGAGTGGTCCTGGGTTCAGTTCCAGCTGGGGGCACGTGCCTGGGTTGCGGGCTCAATCCCCAGTGGGGGGGAGGAAGCCAATCGATGATTCTCTCTCATCATTGATGTTTCTGTCTCTCCCTCTTTCTTCCTCTCTAAGATCAATAAAGAAATATATTTAAAAAAATAATTTCTATTAACATAAACACTTTAAATTATCAGCTGGAAATGACACAAAAATGCACTGTGACTATAGAGCTGTTGATAATATGTGGATATGTGCATCAGTGATAAAGCAAGGTGAATAAAGTCCTTAAAGTCATTGTATATTAAGTCCAAAAACTGAACAGAGTTATAGGAATTAGATAGCTTGCTACACACAAGTATATATGGCTACTTATTGCTCAGTGTCCTCCTTGTAGCTACAGTTCCCTGGGGCTCTTGGTTACATCCGACAGACAAGACCAGCCTAGAGACAATACCGGATGAATGATGCAAATGAGGGGCTCGTCAAAAGAGAAAACTTGCACCAAAATTTATAAAAGCATTTATATATATATTCCCACATTGCAATTCTCTAGCTTCTTTCCTGCTAAACACATGATTCAGGTGTGATATCAATCCACATGAGAGAATAAGAAATCATAACCATTTTTGAGAGGCAGAAGAGGTCTTTGGGGATTTTACTATCTACATAATTATTAATTAGACTATAAAATCTACAGATATTCCAGGCCTCCACAGGGGTGGATACACAATATGATTTTTTGGATTCACACGCACTTTCCCAGAAAATCTAAGATTCATAGTTTAAACAAACAAAAAATCTGTGTATGCTGTGAATTAGAAATAGCTGAACAAGAGCTGTTTCATGGCTTAACAAGCTATAGAAACAAATTCTCTGCGAGGGAATGCACCAGTGGCTTTCTCTTTAGATATGAATGAAATGCAGGATGCAGGCAACTGATTCTCTCTGACACATTTTTAACACTGAGAAAACCTAAATAAATAAACATCATAGAAGTTGATAGGTCTCCTTCCACCCTTTATCATGTTGTTTACAAAGGACAGTTTACCACTTACTTGAATTCAGTATGACAATCAGGCCCCACCAACAGTAAACTCCACACAGGTACACAACACTGTTGCCTTTATCTGCTAACCTTATGCACAGAAACATGTTACATGAATGAATTTTCCAGCTAAGTGAGATGATCAAGTTCCAACACGCTCATATTAATGGATCTTAATAAAAGTATTTCTGATCAGCTGATGTTTCCAAATGCCTTTGCTAAACATAATTTTATCTTTCTCAGGCTTTATTGTGACATTTATTTCTAAATTTACTACCAGGGCTGTCCTCCTTGATGGACCCTTGACCACACCCTCCATCCCTGCCCCAGTGCCTGGTTTCACTCATTATGTTAATGTGAACGTCCCTGCTCCCTCCGAGCTCCACAAATGCAGGGCCAAGTCTGTTCGGCTTCCCCAGTATCTCCAGTCCCCAGTACTGTGTCAGGCACATAGCAGAAAATCCATAAATGTTTGTCCAGTAAATGTGGAAATGAATTAATGATTAAACGAATGGATCTAGTGGGAGGGCAGGAAAATCTTTGCAAAAGCAAGTGTCTGAGATTTTCTAGTATGGATAGTATGTGTGGCATCTCTGCTTATATTTCGACTTTTACCTTGTTTCCTACATCTCAGGCTGAAAATCTGTCCCATCTTATACTTCTTTAAACTGTTAACTCCAGTTCTCAAATCAGCCCTTCATTCTTTTTTTTTTTCTTAACTAACATTTTTATGGCACCAGATTCCAGCTGGAAATTGGCCCCCTAACTCTCTCCCCAGGACCACTGCTCAAGTGTGCCCTAGGCACTTAGTAAACTTTCCAAGGGCAACATCTCAATTGTGTCCCCAAAAGTCACTGCTTCTCCCAGTTTGACCTCTTCATCTAGCCAACACGCACAGCAGCTGACCTTGTCATTGGCTCACCAGGAACATTTGTTGTCCAATGGCAGCTGTCACTTCTGGCCACTCTGATGGAGAGAAGGGATCCCTGATTTCACCCTGTCATGTTTACACCCAAGGATGGGTTTCAGGGATTTACCTATTTTTCAATTGTGTAACTGAGAGTAGTAATTTTGAAGAAGGTTTGCTCGAAGGTTTAGGCATATTGGAAAGGAACACACACACACACACACACACACTCACATACACACACAAACACACCAGAAAATCATGTCCTGTCATTTCCTGCCTGGCCCACACTGTCCCAGGACCTCATCCACTCCCTGTGAACAGGTGCGGTTCCTCCATCCTGTACCCACAGCACTGTTCCAGTCCCCGTTGGAACTGTTCACTCCAACTTTTGCAAACTCTGAGGCTAGTAAAACAAAGAGACCTTCTCACAGTCCTAGAGAGATGTGGTTTAGCTTCTGACCCTGGCCCCAGATATAACTCCTGGATCTTCACTTCCTACTGTAGGATTCACCTTTACTAAGGATGACAGAAGTAAAAACTTTAACTTCATTCAGGGCTAATCTTAGGACCTAATGGGGGAAAAGCCTGATCTTATAACAGATATTCATTTTTGTTTTCCAAAATCTGGGCTATTTATCCTTCTTTATCTTCCCTGTGTTATGCTAAAATTAGAGAAACAAGCATTCATCTTGATTTGTTGCAGTTCTCTCAAGGTACTGCTGTTTCACCGCCAAAGACAAAAGCCATAAAGTCTTTGAATATCTTCTGTGTGTCAGGCAATGTAGTACGCGTTCTGAAATGATTAATTTTGATACAAACCATGGACTAGGGATGAATATCTTTTTACAGAAAAGGAGGCTCAGGAAGATAAATAATATAGCCAAGATCACTCTGCTGAAAAGAATTTAATCTAGGATGAAAATCTCTATCGAACTCAATTCAGAGCTTGTATAGTTTCCATGATGGCAGTGGCTTCAGAGTATATTCCTTAATTCAAAGGAAATTTGTATGGCATCTGAACATGTAAAGTTGTTCTCCTAGTTGAAGTAAGGATGAAGAGTTTAGAAGTTTGCCTCTTTGTCTGCCCCCCTCCCCACCCCCCGCCCGCACCAGAAATCTAAAGGCGATATATATCAATCAGCAGGATGGATCTATGAAATCAGCTACCTTTATAAGAAGTAATTGAAATATGTTCCCTTCAGGAAATCAATTTCAGATATATTAAATACCTACATGAGAAAAACTAAACATTGAAATGTTTAGAAGAAAATGTTTAGAACGGTGAGAAAAGATTTTTAAGCAAAATACAGAACATAACAATCC